CGGGGAGATGGTGTTGGAGGAGTATCGCGACCTGTGAATGCTTTCAGGCATGTAATGTTGCTCCTCTCGGAGTTTTGTGTGCTGCAAATCAAGTCCCAGAGTCGTCATCAAACTTGGAAGATTTTACGAAAACTCGCAAAGCCCCTGTTCGAAAGACCTGGGCTATCGAAACAAAAAACACCCATCCTTCTGAACTTCACCAGTGATCACTTATTCCAAATAATTAGATTCTAACCACAGGTAAGAAGCTGTGAACAGTGAACTGTTCGTTAAAGCTCTGACTTCCTTCTAAACCCCCCTCTTAGATGCGCACAAAAACATTGGTGTCACAGGAAGCACAGTTCGATAGCACATTGCACTCGTATTCTGAGGCAACCCTTTTCCTCCCCTTCTGTCTTTCAGTCTCTTTTCCTCCAAAGGCTCTTTCTGACTTTGCACCAACTACAGAGTCTCTTCAGGTGTTTTTACTGCAGAGAAAGAGAGATGCATGCACACACACCATCTGCCCTTCCAGCGGTCTGAAGCTTTCTACTGGTGTCACTTCCGCCCACGGGCCGTTCAGCTCCCGAGGAGACTCGGGGTAGTTATTGTCAGACTTGGCGTCTGTAGCAGGTCGCCAGCCCAGAAACCAATCAGCAACCAGTCGCTAACCAAATCTGGCCGACTCCTGGACCATCTCCCTGACACCTCCCCCAGTGCAAATCAAAGCTTGTGATTTTCATCTTCCAAAGTCCGTTTTGGAGTCTGGGCTGGCCGTCGTTGGGGTATTCCAAATCTTAGCTGCCGAAGGAGTCGGTTCACCTGCTGACAAATGATTTGGCAGCAGTGAAAGGCATAGCTTCACCGACGGGTCACGGAAAGCCCAGCGAAAGGGCAAGAGAGTGAGCAGTTCCACAAACAGTTTATGCAGGTCAGTAACTAGTGAGCAGAGCAACAGCTGAACATCTCTCACAAGCAAATCACAGTAAAACTGTGAGCAGTACACCACTCGAAGTATCTCCTTATGATGTACCACTGTTTGATGGGAAGGTGTCTCCACTTACTCATCAAAACTCTAACACACTCTGAAACTCTTTCAGCCTTAGCTTCAGTGCTTGCCTCTGTGCTTGCCAACTTAACTCCGATTCTGTTTCCTGAGCCTCAAATCACTTCAGACATGCCAGGCACCAGTTTTGAATGATCAAGGTTCAGCTGGTGTAACAAAGTCATGGAAAAGCTCAGCAGGTCTGGAGAGAAATCAGAGTTAACGTTTTGCGTCGGACAGTTCTGAGGAAGGGTCTCTCGACCCGAAATGTTAGCTCTGATTTCTTCCCACAGATGCTGCTGAGCTTTTCCAGCAATTTCAGTTTCTGTCATTGATCCATAGTTCGTTTGGTTTTTAATTCAGTTAATGTAGCGTCTGCTTGTGTGGTCCCTGTGCTGTCTCAGGCTAAACAGGTGTGGGTTAGTTATCTGCGTGGGGTGGATATTTTCCGAGCAGCGTGACAGGCCTCTGGAGCAGGTGGGACTTGAGCCCAGGCCTCCTGGCTCAGAGGTAAGGGCACTACCAATGTGGCTCAAGAGCCCCATTATATTCTTGGGTGTCGTTCACATTCTCTGTGGTCCAGGCGGTTTTCCTATTCAGTCTGTTCAGAGATGTTATGACACCGATCTGGAGCAGGTCAGGACCTGAATCCAGGCCTCCTAGCTCAGAGGTGGAGCACTACCACTGTGCCACAAGCACTGTCACGAATTGGCCTCAGGTTTTGGCTCGGCTGTTTGAGTGTCCATTGGTGCTGCAGATCTTGTTTTTGATTGCATTATCTGAGAGATCTCCCTGCACCGTAATCTCAACGTGTTAATGGTTCAGGCATGATTCTGTAGGACTGTGACCATGCTCTGGCAGGTCCTGGTCCATACTGAGTGGCCTGAGTGGATCCTGATCCCCTTTCCCACATTAGCTGAAACTGAGAACTTCAGTTCCAAACCCTTTGGCCTACCGTTGCCAAACCCATCGAATTGACTCTTGAGGTCCCCGTGTCGAAAACAGTAACTACTCCATTGACCAGACTGCGTGACTGTCAGCCTGTTTCCTTCCACCCTTCGCCATTAACCCAAGCTGCCTGTGTTACCACTGGTTTTAGCGGGGAGTCCTACAGTGCCCAGGTCTGACCCAAACACCAATGCCGGAGATGTTTAGAATGGCAGGTACTCGCTCATGGTATATGTCAATATATGGAAGGTTTATCGTCCTTTAACAGCACTAGTCCATTTTCTGGTCAATTAGTTCAAGCCTAGATATGGGGGAATCACTCATCTGCACCTCCAGTTCCTTTACCCCCACCCCCAGCTCTATTGTGTGGGCAGTTTTGTTGCCACTGTAGTGGTAAGTTTGTTGCTGATGTTGCCCCTGGAGACTTATCCACCTTTATGCATTTTAAGATGTCCAGCACCACCATCTCTATAATAGGGACATTTTTCAAATATCTATTTATTTCCCCAAGTTCTCCAGCTTACATGTCCTTCGCTAAGTAAACACTGATACAAAATACTCATTTAGTATCTTCCCCATCTCCTGCGGTCCCACGCACACACGGCCTTGCTAATCTTTAAGGGGCCCTATTTTCTCCCTGGTTACCCTTTTGTCCTTAATATAATCATAGAATCCCTTTGGATTCTCCTCAACCCTATTTACCAAAACTGTCTCATGTCCCCTTTTTGCCCTCCTGATTTGCTCGTTAACTTTACTCCCGATGTCCTTTTACCCTTCTGGTGATACATTGCCGTCTGTACCTGACATATACTTCCTTCTTTCTCTTGACCAGAACCTCAATTTCTCTACTCATCCAGCATTCCCTTCACCTACCAGCTGTACCCTTCACTCTAACAGGAACATACTGTTTCTGGGCTCTTGTTATCTCATTTTTGAAGGCTTCCCATTTTCCAGCCGTCCCTTTACCTGCAAACATCCACCCCCAGTGTCTTTTGAAAGTTCTTGCCCAATACCACCAATCTGGCCCCAAAGTGCTCCCGCACTGACGCCTCAGTCAACTGCCCTGCCTTACTTCCCAAGAGTAGGTCAAATTTTGCTCCTTCTCCAGTAGGTACATCCATATACTGAATCAGAATTTTTTTTGTACACACTTAACAAATTCCTCTGCATCCAAGCCCTTAACACAATGGCAGTCCTGGTCTATGTTTGGAAAGTTAAAATCCCCCACAATAACCACCCTATTATTCTCACAGATAAGTGAGATCTCCATACAAGTTTGTTTCTTAATGTACTGCTGACTATTGGGCAGTCTATAGCACAATCCCAATAAGGTGATCATCCTTTTCTTCTTTTCCACCCAAATAACTTCCCTGGAACATCCTCCCAAAGTACAGCCATAAATGTTATCCCTAATCAAAAATTCCACTCCCCCTCCTCTCTTGCACCTCCCCCTGCCCCCTTTCTGCAATATTAAGCTGTCAGTTCTGTTTGTCCCTGAGCCACATCTCTGTAATAGCTATGATATCCCAATCCCATGTTCCCAACCATGCCCTGAGTTCATCTGCCTTACCTGTCAGGCCTCTTGCATTGAAATAAATACAGTTTAATTGATCAGTCCTGCCTCATTCTCTACTTTGCTCCTGACTGTTTGGCTTGCTCCTTTTCCCAATTGCACCAGCCTCACATCTTTCCTCACTATCTCCCTGGGTCCCAACCTCCTCTTCCTTACTAGTTTAAATCCTCCCAAGCAGCTCTAGCAAATCTTCCCGCCAATATATTAGTCCCCTTCCAATTCAGGTGCAACCCATCCTTCTTATACAGGTCACTTCTACCCCAGAAGAGATTATAATGATCCTTCTCCCCTGCACCAACTCCTCCACCACACGTTCATCTGCTCTATCGTCCTATTCCTACCCTCACTAGCACTTGGCACTGGGAGTAAACCAGATATTACTATGCTTGAGGACCTGCTTTTTTTAACCTCCTGCCTAATTTCCTATATTGTCTCCTCAGAACCTCATCATTTTCTCTTCCTATGTTGTTGGTTCCAATGTGTACAATGATCTCCTTCTGGTCCCTTTCCCCTTTGAGAATATTGTGCACCCTCTCTGAGACATTCTTGACCCTGGCACCAGGGAGGCAACAAACCATTCTGGTGTTTCATCGACTGTCTATGCTTCTTACTACAGAGTCCCCGATCACAATCGCTCATGTGGAACCTTACATATTCCTCGTTACATTAGAGCCAGTCTCAGTACCAGAAACCTGGCTGTCAGTGCTACATTCGCCTGAGAGTCCATCATTCCCTACATTTTCCAAAACAGCATACTTGTTTGAGGAGAGGATAACCACAGGAGACTCCTGCGCGACCTGCCTACCTTTCCTGGAGATAACCCATCCACCCGACTGTATGTGCCTTTTGTTTTCCTGCCTTCCTGAAATTGCCATCCATCATACCTCCTGGCTCCTGTAACTTGCGCATTGCCTCTAACTGCCAC